CTGCCCAGGTTCACCAAGAGGCCTGTTCACAGGGTCTTTGAGAAGCAGAAATGGGCTCTGAAGAAACATACAAATCAGCAAGTGTGGGGCAGACCCTGCTTGGCAGCTGCAGAGCTGGTATTCTGGGGGGTACCTTCCTGCTGGTGTTCACATACAGTCCCAGAGGAGTTTCTTCTTGATCTTGTTAGAGAAAAACTTCCCTAATTATTCTGGTTCTTATTTGTACTGAGGGTTTAAGATTTTGTAGTTATAATGAGGCATCCTCCTTTTTAGAAAAGTAAACAAAAGAAGCTACTTGATCTCATAAATTAATCTTTAATATGAACATGTGATACTTTCCCAAAATTCCGTGGAATATCATCTTCTAGAAATGACAAAAAAAGGCTCTGTGTTGACGTGTGGATTAGAAGAGACACTAGGTATAGTGGAGATAGGGATTTCATGGAGAAAATCCATAGCATAATATTTTGGGGTGCTGTGCACCAGAAAAGAACCACATCATTGGAGCATATTTTCATGGCCAATGTGATTCCTTGTTTGGGAGACTAATGGATTTTGTTTTCAACTTTTTCTTGTTTTCTATATCATTTTTTAATTATTTCTCTGATAGAAATGTCATACTTTAGGGTGTGTTTTTTCTCTAGAAGGTTCTTGGATGCTCATTAACAGCACTCTGTTTCTGTCCTCACAGTGAAACTCTGTGGTCACTCTGTTTTCTGATTCTCCTTCCTCCAAAGACATTGAGATATTTCTTAACTAAAAATTATTAAAACGTGTAAAAATTAACAAATATTGTACACCATCTATCAATATGGTTGGGATTTTGTTCTGTAACCCATTATTATGTTCAGTTACACTAGTTTATACAACTTGAACCCACTGGAGCTCTTGAGGATTATATTTAATTTGGTTAAAGAGCACTTTCCAATAGCTACTCTTCTCAGAAAGCAGTCTTCAGAAACCAGAGGAGATCAAGGACCACTGCAGTCCCAACAAGTAAACTAGACTTCAGCAAAAAACTGAATGGAAAATGAAGGGAAAGGTCATTACAGAAGACACGGAAGCCAGTATATCAAGAATCTTGGATTATGAATGTTTATGCACCCAACATTGGAGTACTTAATAATAGAAAGCAAGCATTAATAGATCCACTGGGAAATGAAGACAGCAATACAAGCATATCAGGGCACATAGGTCCCCTACTTTCAGCAGTGAATAGACAGGAACCACCATTGTAGACAAGTAGATCCAATGAACATCTACCAGACCTCATTTCAAACAGCAACAGAACACACATTATTTTCAATCAAACATGGACCATTCTCCTGAGCATATGATAGAAAACTAAACACATCATGGCTACTTAAGAAGACTGAAATCACCAAGTGTCTTCTCCTGACACAATTCCATAAAATTAGAGCTCAGTACATAAGAATTGTAGCAAATTCACACATGGGTTCAGATTTTAAAATGTTGTCCTGAAGTACCAAATGGCCACAGAAGAAAAGAAATAAAAGTTTTTGTGCTGAGACAAATGAGCATACTAACTACACACCAGAGGCTACGGGTGGGTAAAAGGCTGCTCAAAGAGGAAGGTTTACAGCAATAGTTGCCTTCATTGAAAAAGTAGAAATGACTAAACAGCTGGCTTCACACCCATGGGAGGAGGAACAGATGGACCAGCTCAGCCCTGTATCACCATAAAGAACAGACTTTACAAACTTCAGAATAAAATAGAGAGATGAGAACAACAAAAGAAAAGAAGCAAAACTAAATATTGGTTTTAGGAACAGACAGACATAACTGGCAGATTGTTTACTAGAGTAAATTAAAAAGAATCTCAAATGAAATTGAAATAAAAGAACATATAGATTGAGTAACAGCCATTCAGAGGATCGTAAGAGAATAGAATGAACAGTTTTGTGCCAAAAAATAGAATAACCTAAAAAAAATGGATAAAGTCCTAGACAGAACCAACAAACAAGACTAAGTCATGGAGAAACAGACAATCTGAATAGAGCAATAGAAAAAAAGGAGAAGGAGTCAATAACCGAGACTCTCCCCTCAAGGGCTGGGATGTAGCTCAGTGGCAGAGGTCTTACCTAGTTCATGACAGGCCCAGGGTCCATTCCCTAAAACTTCAAGAAGGAAGGGATAGAAGGAGGAAAAGAAATCATCTGTTAAAGAATATCTCAGAATTTGATGGCTTCACTATTGATTTTATGAAATATTTAAAATATTGCACTGTTGGGATAAAAATTAGGGCCTCTTGCATTCTGGCAATTGTTCTACCACCCAGCTATATACTCAACCCTTCATATATGTAAATAACATTGATCCTTCTTGCCCATCACAGAGGTGCATGCATGTAATATAAGCTGCTCTGGAGGCTGAGGCAGGAGGATCATAAGTTTTAAGCCAGCCTCAGTAAAAGTGAGGCACTAGGAAATTCAGTGAGATCCTATTTCTTAATAAAATACAAAATAGGGCTATGGATGTGGCTTAGAGATTTAGTGCCCCTGAGTTCCATTCCACATACACTTCTGCCCACCCCAAAGAAAGTATTGAGAATTTTTAAACTACCCAAAATTGAAGAGGCAGGAGCACTCCCAATATCTGTACTTGTTTGACCTGTAGAATGTGTGAAGGCTGCACTGCTCAAGAACCCAGGGCTGACCCTGCAGCACTGACCACCTTCTACCCTTGGAATGTGAAAACTGAGGCTGTCCACTGAAGAGACAGAGGCCACCTACAGGAGAAGCTCCCAGCCAACAGCCACACCCACCACCACACCTGTGGGCAGCCTAGCCATGGCACAGCAAGGGAGCGAGCTGAGGACTGTGAGCAGGGTCTTTCTTGTGGGAAGGAGTTCTCTGTCTCTGGTGTTGTGCAGAAGAGCTCAGAAACATTGACAGAAAACAAAATAAAACAAACAAAAACTGTTTGAAGTCACCCATGACTCCTCCAATTTGCCTGTCATTAAGAGGAGAACCCAGGAACCTTGGCTGAAACCCAACTCCAACTGTGAGGCAGGTAGATGAGGCCAGCATGGGGCTCCAGCCCAGCTGACCTGCTGTGGAAAGCTGCATGCATCAGCCAGGCACAGCTGCAGAGGACACACTGCCATGCCACAGCCTTTCAGGAAGAAGTGAACCATCATTCAGTCTGAGGGTCAGGAGCTCTATTATGCAGTGATCAATCATGGAAGCCTCCATCCATAAATCCCTCAACACCTCTCCCCTGTGGTCCAATGTGAGTTGCACACTGTGCCCTGCCCCTGCTTCAGCAGGTCAGAAGCACAGCTCTGAGAACTTGCAGAGCTTCAGAAAGGACTCTTCACACATCCCAGGCCGCGCCTCCTGCAGCGAGCAGGTGTCTGCACCAGGCAGGGTCTGGAGCACACAGGGGACATTTCTTCTTGAGCTCAGTCACTGTGAGAGGATGTCTGAAGTGCTGCTGACAGTAAAACACCCCAACATCTTCAGCTTCCACTCCATGGATGGATAGGGAGAAGTCAAAACCAGAGCCACTTGCCCAGATCCAGGAAGAGGTTCCAGCAGCCCTGGCAGATGCTCCCAAAATGAGCAGCCTAGGTGCCTCCTGGGGTCTTTGTTGGTACCAGGCCATGGAGGTTTCTATTGCCATGCTGCTTCTACAGGTGATGGAGACAAAGTCACCTTGAGAGGCTGCTAGGGTCTCTGGGGACTGAGTCAGGGTGATCTTACCCATGCAGCCTGCAAGGACACAGCATCCAGGGTGCACCATGAGTTATTTCTCTCAAAGGATTGTTAGAAAAACAGTGTCCCCACCCTATTCAGAGAGGACCAAGGGAGGTTCAATGCTCCCTGCCTCTGCCTCTCTTTAACCCTGGGGCTCGGCCTTGGGTTTCCAGTAGTGAAAACAACTCGCCATATTACACTGCCTTTTCCAAAGCACATTGACAAACAGTATCTCTAGGCCTACAGCTGAATTCCCAGCTTAATGCCTTCCACCTGTATGTATTTATCCTGAAATCCCACCACAAGGAGGCATAGGAGCATTTCAAATTATTTCATAAAATTAACTAAGAAAAATACAACTAACATTGTAGTCTTTTTCTACTTTGGAAGTGTAGTGACATCACTTGCCCACAACATATGTGCTACCCATGAGGTGGGTCCCCTTTTAGCCAGGGGTCACCAGTTCCCTCCCTGAGTCCTTAGGGCCACACATCCTTGAAGACAATCCAAGATCCAGGTAGAAACAACCCAGGACTCTCCTCTGTAAGGACCACATCTCCCCCATGGTGGAAGGCCATCCTGGTTGTATCTGTCCTCTACATGGAAATGGTGACAGATAGGTCATTCAACAACTCTCCCTATGTGAACCCCTCCAGGATGCAGAGACCCTTGGAGAAGTGAGGTCACTGATGACCATGAAGAGAGAAGCTGAGGGTGCAGGGAGGGAGACACAATGGTGTGAGAACATGGAGACTTGGTTCTTCACCATTCAGGTCACTGAGTGTGGGGCCACCGAGCCAGGTCCTCCCCTATGCTGGCCAGCCTCATATGAAAAGTGCCTGGCAGATGTGATGGAGGATATTTACTTGGGGAGATGATCTATAATTAACCAGATGGGCCCTGAGGGTGTTCTTATAAGAGAGCAGGAGATCTAACTTGGATGAGGGGAGGCCATGTGAACAGGGACATAGTCACTGCGGGGATGTGGACTCAGCCAGGGGAGCTGCAGCCTCCAGAAAGTGAAGGCAGAGTGGGCTGGTGCAGGAGCCCTGTCATTAGTGCCCTGGGCCTGTCCCATAGAAAGAGACACAGCCTTCTGTACTCCAAAATCCTGAGCGAGTGTTTGCTGTTTTAGGCCAAAAGATTTTGGATACTGTGTTACAACAGCCCTATCAGCTGACACAAACAGGGCTTAGAAAACCAAGAATGAAGGCGCTGAGGTCATTTTTATTTCACTTGACTTTCTAATGTTGCACATAGTGAATAGAAAAAGACTTCTCTGGTGGAACAAATGCACATCTGCCCACAGTGTATGATACTAAGCCAGATCTCGCTGCCCCACGAGTGGAGGACAGGCTCGTGCACCCCATGGCCTGGGGTTGTAGTAAAGGGAAGGACTTCACTGCAGATCAACCCACATGGAGACAGGAGAATCGCTTACACCTACCTCCCCTGTTGGCCAGTGCAGTGGGTTTCTAAGTGCTATTGATGTGAGTCAATGATGTCCTGGGTGGTCTTGATTGGATATAATTATATCTTTGAAAGTTTTTTCTATTGTTTTCTGGGTTCTAATTTTATGGTCAGCACCCCAGCTCTTTATTTTAGGGGGCTGAGCTTATAGTCCTGGGTCTAATATTCTGTTGGTTTGAGGATTTTGATTCTTCCAGGCTTAGGGTCAACTTAAGTCAGACTTATAGGTGTGTCCCAGGGCATGTTCTATAAAACATTACTCAACAGCTAGAAATGAGATAGTTATTTGGAATGTGAGCAGTAGGAGAGATGCTTAACGTCACTCTGATTGGAATGATTAGGAGGCAGGGGCATGTGGATGTTCAGGAGAGGCAGAGAGCAAAGAAACATGGAGAGGTAGTGACTGTGGCTCGCATGGCCAAGGCCAGGATTCTGCCTCCCACAGAGTCCTGGAGACATGGCTCCTCTTCCTTTGATGATTCCACTCATGGCAAAGGCACTTGGGTCCTTGAGAGATCCTGCTGAGTTGCAATAGGCTTACATTTGTACTGTAGGCTTTAGTGGTACACAGGAGGAAGCTTGGCCTAGAGGAGGGGCAGGCTCCAGAGAATCAGGTGACACAGGACTTTCAGTTAAGAATGAAACCCAACTAGGAATATCTTATGAAGTGTCTTCATTCTAAAATATTCATGGGTGTACAAAACAGTCCTGGGAATTTTCTCCAATTTGTGTAAATTACATGGTCCATGGTATGGTCCAGCTGAATGCAACCGTGGAATCTTTACTGTATCATTCACATATGAGAAGATATTCACAGGATGGGTCATTTGCCCAAAGCCACATGGAGAGAGGGGTGGAGAAAGGGGCTGTCAGACTTGGCCAAGCCTGCCTCCAGGGATGGCCTGAGACCTTCACCAGCCTACTGGTGGAGTAGCATCTGGGTGATACTGATATGTTAGAAGTCACAGACTCCTCTGGGATGGAGGATATGCACATGCCCTGAAAACAGCACAGCTACTGGCAGAGTGGCATCTGTCCAGATGAGCAGGCACCATGGCCAGAGCAGTGAGAGGCAGCAGGAGCTGGGAACCAGACCAGGTTTCTGTTGCTGCCAGGGTGGGACCCTGTTGGTCCTCAGGCAGGCCCTGCAGAGGCTAGAGATCCTCTCTTCTGGGACAGAAGGAGGGAAGCTAGAGACATGGTCCATTTTAGAATTCCCTAGCCTCTAATTCAGAAGTAAAATGAAGACCATCAACTATCAATAGCACGTATTCACTCCATGAGCTGTGACTGTGATCAGAGAAAAAAGAGGTGAACAAATTCATGTGCAAAGAAACACACTGAAGATGAGTATCCTCCTTCCTCACGAGTCAAAGAAGCAGGAGACAGAGGAGCCCAGCAGGTCCATGTCCATAAGGTTGGTCCTGAGGCTGCTCCTGCTCAGGGAATGCTGAGATTCTGAAGTAATCTTCAGGGACTGTCATTGAGAAACACATCACCCTGGTCTCAGTGGCTCAGATAGTAAAGATGTGTCCTCTCAATGTTCTGTAGCCTGAAGGTCCAAAGTCAAGGGGCAGCAGATGACCCGTCTGTCATAGACACTCTTCCTAAGGCTTCCTTCTTGTCTGTCCTCACAGGCTTCTCCTTGTGGCCTGAGAGGGATGGAGAGAGCTCCCTGGACAGAGAGCTCTCTAAATATCTATTAAGAAGGATGCAGTTCCTGTGGGATCAGCCTCACCTGGATGACCTTGTTTCACCTCCATTCTTTCTTCTAGACCACTTCTGCAAACCCACCAACAATGAGGTGAGGCATCAACATATAAATGGGGGCAGTTTTACTAGTACTAAAGAAGTAGCCTTAGTGATTAGGTTTAGGGGTATAAAGGCAGGGCTAGGCATCCAGTCTCAGAGCCCCAACAAAGAGAGTTTTGTCCACACCTCAGCCCCCAGGCAGGTCCTCCACATGCTCCTGGCAATACAAAGTCCCCATTCAATCCAGGGGTCTCCCTGTTGGTAAGGAACAGTATCACTCTATTACTTACCTAGCGTTTCCAAGATCAAGCTTCTCTTTGCAAATTGTGGGCTGTTCTGACATCTACTGGTTGACTATTGGTATTGCATCTCACAGGGTCAGAGATGGTACCAAAGGGGCTTCCTGGAGTCCTTTTTTTCTTCCTGATCAAGCTCATTCTGTTGCATCAGTCACCAGAGGGATTCTGTAGAGAACAGAAAATGATCCCTCCTCTGATTCATACACCAACTTTAGGGCACTAGACAAACAAATACATTAATATTTGGAAAATAAAATAGTCCTAGGACAGTAGGGCACATTTGGACACTGTGATCCAGGTGAGATGCCACAGGTTTGCATGTACAAAGGCTCCTGATGGCTGCAGGGCATACTGTCAGAGGTGGCTGTAACCCTGTTTTCCTGGTCTAGATCTGTCCATGAAGCCCCTTTCCCATCATCCCAGGAGCCTTCCAGAACCTACCCTAGGCCACAACTGCTACACCAACTGGGGAAGGATTTGAGGCCACCCAGTGTCTGGGGAGTTTTGTGTTCTGAGCTTCAGCACCATGAAAGATCTTGTGAACCTTTTATACCAATGCTGGCCATCAGAATCTCCTGCCTTGATGAAGATATCTGCATCTGAGCAGTCCCCTGAGGCAGCTATTAGCCACATATGGCCTGTGAGATGAAGCATGGGAAAGAACCAAGTGCCAAGGAAATGTTTATTGTAAAATATAACTGAATCTGTTTATAGAGTCACTGTGGCTAGTGTGCACAGTTCTAAAAGCAGCATCAGCACAATTTTTTCTGCCACCAGGATGCTAATTGACATGCCCACTGTCTGCCTCATGCCATGGCAATAGTAATGGACAGTGATATCCTCAGCCTCCAAGCTGCCTCTGTAAGGCAGACATTAGAAAGGTGATGTCCTGTAACTCTGATGTCTTTTTTCTGCTGGGGTGTTTTCTAAAGAATTTATTCCACTGAATGGCTCATGTTTCCTTGCTCCTTTGTGTGCATAGCCATATTCTGTTGAACTGCAGACTTTGAATTAAACATTCATCCGTCCCAGTCTTTGAATTCTGATGTGTAACCAAATCACTTGCTCTGAGGACTGGGGTCTGCATGGATGAAGGCTTTGATCTTTCATGGGCATGCAGGTGCCTGAGTATATGCTTTGTCTCCCAAATTCCCCAGAATTCATGGTTGTTTAGAAATGAGCTGGTTATCCTTATAGTATCATGGAAGCTTCTTTAGAGCCTGGGTTTACTACGTATTTCCTAATTCATTTTTCTTCATGCAATGGTCACACACAGTGGCACCCAACACTGCTTTCCACAGTTTCCTCACTGAGACTTGAGGCCTGCACTTGTCCCTGTCTGAGAGAGCAGTCCACCAGGCAGCCCACAGTTGAGGTAGAAAGTCACAAGTAAGTGCTGCTCTGTTTCTCCTGGGCCATGGGAGGGATAAGAAAATTGTGTACTTTGTTCTCTATCCTGCTTCTTTCTGCTGGGATAGGGTTGTGAAAAGTGCACAAAGGTCCGGGTGATTACTACTTTAACTCAAGCTGTCTTTTCTTGACAAGGCTTTCACAAGTGTGTGTGTGTGTGTGTGTGTGTGTTTGTGTGTTTTTGTGTGTGTTTGTAGGTGTGAGTGTGTGTGTGTGTGTGTGATTGTGGGTGTGTGTGTCTGTATGTGTGAGTATGTGTGTGTGTGCCCCAGCAGAGGGGACCACACACCTAAGGGTCCCACCCCCAGGAGGCTTGCTTTCCCTGGAGCCCACCTGCTCTCACCTGATGGGCAGGGGCTGCTCTTACACTGCTGGGCTCCCCTAACCCCACCTGTCTGAGATCAATGCATGAGGATCTTTCAGTTAAAGCCTCAGAGCCCACTCCTGGCTGGGCTGCACTGCTGGGAGGAGAGCAGGAGGGCAGAGATGCTTGAAGCTTCACAGACACACCTGCCACACATGTGGCTGTGTCTCGTGACCTCAGCACACACAGACCCAGGGATGAGGGGATTAAGGCTGCAAGTAGTCTGAATCTGCTTCTCCTGCCTCCTGATCCTGGTCCATGGCCATAATCAGAAGTTGGCTTAAGCAGCCAGGATGGCCTTTGTCATATCCTGGTGACACTATGACATCACAGTGAGAAAGGAAGAGACTGGATCTCATGATTCTCAACCCTCAGGCTGAACAGGAGGCTGTGGCTGGAGGTCACGACTCCTTGTCTCTCTGTGCAGGTCACAAACCCTGTGTCCCACGATGCTGCCTGAACCTGTGCTGACCACTTACTGTATAACCTGAAGCTCCATACTGACACCTGTTCAACTGTCCTACCAGGTGTCACCAGTGGCAATGTCATCAGGAGAACTATTCCTGAAGCTATTCCAGAATTGACACATTTTCTAGTCTCTTTCATAAAATGCATAGATAAATTCCTATTAGCCATTGATCACCAGAATCTATAGACCTTTCCTCAAAAATGGGACCCTTTCTTCATAATTAGTGCCTTGTTCTATGGGTCCTGACGACCATGTGTTCATCATTTCACTCAGTTTAATGGCAGAGTGACCATAACAATGTTTTGGGTCAAGAACTTTGACCAGAAAAGTAAAAGTTGAGCAGATAGAAGTTTCCAAGGTGCTTCGTAGGCACAATAGAGAGGGGAGAGATGAACCAGCAATACTTAAAAGTGAATATTATATTTCTGAGAGAAACAGAACCACAAAGGATCAGTGCCTCTGAGCCTTCTCCACACCAGGCAGGACAGGGAATCAACTCCACAGGGACAAGGGCCAGCATAGCTTGACTTGTGTGGGTTTCTCTTCTGTAAACACCACTGCACCTGCTTTTATGATAATATTATTGTCAAGTGTGGGAGGCCATCCTTACTCGTGATTTGAGTTACCTCCCTGGCTGGGTGAGAGGCACTTAGATACAGCTGTGTTAAAGCCTTCCCCAGTGTTTTCCAGGTCCTAGGGCTTGTCCATGCAGAGGCATGCCTGGCCACTGCCCTGAAGACCCAATCATCACCCCTGACCTTGGAATGCTGTTCCCTTTAACCTTCATTGGATGGGATTTTTTTGGAAGTTTTTGTTCCCCAATAAAAGCCCACTCCCTGGCATGTTCTCTCTCTCTTGGTAGTCTCTTCTGTAAACCTCGACACTGTATTAGGTCCCACAGTCTGGCTGGACACAAATCATGAGCCACTTATCAAGCAGGAACAAACTTTATTTTTAGAATGCACGCGCTGCACCACAAAAGCTCTTCAGGAGTTCCCTCAGAGCCCAACTGCCACCACAGGCTCTTTTGGGGAGCCCCTCAACTGGCACTCTTCCCGCCCTTGAGGCCAATTGGCTGGGTCATGTGGGTGGAGCAAAAAAAAATCTCTAAATGAGCAAAGCCGTGGTCTGAAATGGTGGGGAAACAGCCCAATGAGCGTCACTACAGATGAGCCAATCAGTTGAAAGTTTGCTGGGGCCGCTGTGAGCCAATCAGTTGGAAGTTTTCTGGGGCCGCTTCAGCTGTGGCTCTCAACATCTCCCCATCTCTGTTTAATTAAACAACAAGCATGTGGCTTAGGGAATGTGCCTGTCTTTGTTGTACAATACTACATATGATCCTTACCCGTCATCAGATGAGCTGACCTCAAGGCGTCAGCCTCCTGTCTTAGGTTGGTACAATTGCAATTGGATCTTATCCGTCATTGTCATCAGTCCAGCATACAGCCAGCCACACCTGTGGATAGGCCTTTGTACCAGTGTATGGGGAGGTGAGGTTCTTTGCCTCACCTCTGTTGGCCCCCAAATTTTAGCTGAACGACCATCACAAGCAGAAGGGATGAGGATATACACCAAGCCAATTGATGGCTCCTTTTGGAAAAATTGTACCACCTATGATACCATTAGCAAAAAATACCCCAGGACTACCATAAGTCGCTGCACCAACGGATAGTTGACAATGTATACAAGTGATACATAGTCCAGGGAAGTTCTACAAGATGTTCAGTGATAGCTATTGCAGAGGCTGTAGTTTGGTTTTCTCTTTGTCTTCACCAGCACTGGGATGAAGATAGGAATTCTGGCAATAATGGCTAAAGAAAAAAATATGTAACATCCCAGAAGTCACTAAAAGAAAGCAATTTTCTGAACAATTTACATTATCCTGAACAGAATTATTAAATTTAATGAGAAGGACAGGTGAAAGTAAACAATCAGATCTGTTAACCTCCTTTTTTGCTCACATATTAAAACAATCCTCAACAGCTGTTTACCCAATTTAAATTAAACCATTTAAATCATAGTCCAGGTAAATCACAGTCCAGGTAAGTTCTGCAGGCAGCTATCTTGATCCAAAGTCTCCTCCTGTTCTCAGCAACACTGGAAATTCTTCCACCCTCATCCTCACTGGTACTGGGATGAAGGCAGCAACTCCAGCAATCATGCTAAAGAAAATCCTGTAGCATTCCACTAAGAAAACAACCTTCTGAACAATTTAGTACATTATCTCAAGGTTTTTTACATTTGAAATGAGCCTTAATGGCGCTCATTACTCATTAGCTTCTAGGTGTGGGAGAACCATTGTCGTTACTTCACAAACCACTCCCTCTGGCATTTTGCCAGGCGCCATACAGACTTGTTTACAGACTCTAACATTTCTCTGGCAAAATGCCAGGTGCCATCCTGACTTGTTTACAGACTCTAACACCTTCATTGGATGGAATTTTCCCTTGAATTTTTGTTCACAATAAAAGCCCACTCCCTGGCGGGTTCTCTCTCTCTTGGTAGTCTCTTCTGTAAAACTCATCACCACATTAGGTGGCTGGAGGCAGGAGTTGGGAGAAGCCATCTTGGAGCTGGTATTGAAGGTAAGGAGAGTTTGATCTCTTTAATTTAAAACTCCCTAGCAATTACTCATGAATAGAACCGTTTTTCATGGAGCAGGCCCTGGTTGTGTGGGAGAGTCAAGTGCACTAAGTTGATTATTTTTCTGTAAATGTAAGAATTATAGCACCCATGGAAGCTCTCGGGAGATCTCCACATGTTTCTGGCTGAAACAGCTCTGAATTCAAAGGCACAGAGGACAATTTTCCCAGCCTTCCAGTGTCAGTCAGATCCACTGTGGTAAGATGGACATTGGGTGTCAGTCTGATCTCATGGTGTGAATAGAATAATGATGACTAACAGTATCCAGCCCTTTTGTGAGTTGGATGCCTTCAAGTGCCATTGGTAACATGAACTGGGTGAAGAGACTGATATTTTAGGAGTCCAAGGGGGACATCCATGACATTGGTTCATGAGCCTAAATGGAGGAGTAGATGACTATGTAGAATCTTTGTTGGTTCATACTAATTATTGGCAGTCCCTGCTAAGTAATGATCTTTAAATGATCATTTATTTGGAAGTAATTATTTTAAATTCTGACCATTTTTAAATATCTGACCATATCTCTTTCAAAGGGGAATTGTTTCTAATAGACCCACTCTGTTTCTTTCAAGGCCTGATAATCTGTCAAAACAGATTGTCAACAGAATTGCCTTGCCCATCTCTGTTTGGATCTCAGCCCAAGAGGCCAGAAACTTCAGAAGGAGAGAGACCAAGTCCATTCCTAGTCCAGGTCTCCAGGTCTCTTAGCCCAAGAGAGGACAGCAGGTGCAACTCCAGGTACACAGGCCAAAAGACTCAGGGTTGGTGTCCAGGCAACCTAACAAGGACATAAAAACTTAGAGATCCTGTCTCAAAAAAAAAAAAAAAAAATAGATAGATAGATAGATAAAGATAAATACAAATATGACCATGAATGTAGCTGAGTGGTAGTGAGTTTCTGGATTCAATAGCAAATTTGAAGAATAAATTTAAAAAGAAAAAAATGAAACAACTCTCTATGCTGCAGTGAAAACCCCTGGAGGAGGTTTGTGTGCACAGCACTCAGGGTGACAGGCTAGTCTGACTATCAGCCATGCTGTGAGTGCCAGGCTGGTGTCACTAAGTCCAGGTGAAACTACAGAATGAAAAATTGTGAAGGTCTGCAGCAGAGAGAGAGAGAGTGAGGAGCAGCTAGAGCTCAGACACTGTGAGCGTAACAGCTGCACTGTGCCAGGCCACACTGTTGGACCCATGTCACTGTCCACTTCTCAAGTTCCATAGAATGCACAAAGTGACCCTGGTGTGACCTGTAGACATAGGCAAAGGTTGATGAATTGTAACAAAAGCAACAGAGTCTTGGGGTGGTGATGGAGAAGCTGTGGGAACAGAGGGGACACAGAAGAACCCTGTACTTTGCCCAGTTTAGCTGGGAACTTAAACTAATCTGAAAATCAAGGTTTTTTAATATTCCTGTGTGAAATGCAAGGAGAGGCTTGTCTTTCCTGCATTCTGTCCTACAACATATCAGTGATGTTGTTATCATTGTCACCTGCTGAGGCTAAGCTGAAGGAAAGAGTCAGGGTGTATAAGAGCCCCCCTGGATCTTTTTACAAACCCTCCCTATGGCCCTGGGATCCTGGCTGCCTCTGAGCAGTACCCTCAGCAGGTGGAGGCAGCAGAAGGATTAGCTAGGGCAGCCCAGCCTCACACTTCTGCTCCCTGGGAAGTTTTTGTCATGGCCTATATCACTGTAGGAAGGTTACTGTTACATTGTTGACAATAATAAGTGACAACATTTTCAGACTCCAGGCTGCTGATGGTGAGAGTGAAATCTGTTCTAGATCCACTGCCATTAAATCTCAGGTGACTCCAGATTCCAAAGTGTTTTCATTTCTTATGAGGAGCTTAGGAGCTTGACCTGGTTTCTGCTGATACCAGTGTAAATTACTGCCAGTAGTCTGACTGGCTCTGCAGGTGATGTGACTCTGTCTCCAAGACACAAGCAAAGAGGAAGGAGACTAAGTCATCGTGATGTCACATCTTACACCTGCTATTGGAAACATAAAATATATATATATTCTTATGAGCTTTATGTTGCAAGTAGGCAGGCAGCACTGGCCACATTGTGATTAGTAAATCCCCAGTACAGTTCCTTTTTACCTGGAAGACAGAGCAGCAGGAGCCCTAGGACCTGAGCTAGGGCCCTCATGGCCATGCTGTGTCTTGATGAGGACTGACTCCG